TTTTTTTTACTAGATTAAAAATTTCTGTGCCAATCTAATCCCATACCCTTTATTTATAAAATTGGGGCCATTGTGGTTTGGAAGACTTTAGCAAGGTCAAATGTTATCCTTATTTTCATAAAAAAGGAAGCAATATACATAAAGGTGGCTGATGTTACTAAAAAACAGAACTGAGGCTTGAATCCTATGCATTTAGTAACTCTGAAATACTATTCTTTTTTAAAGAAATAGCTTTATTGAGGTATATAACTGATACACAACAAACTACCCAAAATTAAAGTGTATAATTTGGTAATATTTTACACAGGCATATACTTTTCAAATCATTATTAATACAATCAAGACAATGAATATATCCATAATCCTCCAAATTTTGCTTTTTTCCCCCTATCTCCTTCCTACCATTAACCCCCTTATCTTTGCAAAATGAGAACAAAGAAGTCTTCTACATTTACTCATGTAATTACCACTTCAGGGTTTCTGATCCCTTTGCTTAGATCCAAATATCCATTTGGTATAATTTCACTTTTATGTGAAAAACTTCAATAATTCTTACAGTGCAAGTCTGGTGGTGGTGAATTCTTTCAGATTTTAGCATCTCAAAAAGTCTTTATTTTGCTTTCATGTAAAAACAATTTTTTTTACTGTGAAATTACCTTTGTTCATGAAAGATATTTCTGCTGGGTATAGAATTCTGAATTGATGGGATGTATATGTGTGTGTGTGTGTGTGTGTGTGTGTGTGTGTGTGTTCTTTTAGTATTTTAAAGATTCTTCTATTGTTTTCTGGCTGGTATTACATAAAACTAAAAGTCTGCTGTCATTCTTATCTTTGGTCCTGTCAATATAGTGTGCTTTTTATCTTTGGCCGCTTTCAAAATTTTTCCCTTATCATTTGTTTCAAGCAATTTGATTATGATGAGCCATGATGTTGTTTTCTTCAAGAATTTTTTTTTTTTTTTTTTTTTTTTGGCAGAACTAGGAGAACAAGGGTTGGATCTGAGATATTTCTGTATTCTATTCACTCAGAAAGACCAGACTGTACTGCAATGTAGTAAGAGCAGACAACTGACCACTCACTAGATTCAGATGTCCTATGATCAATGAGTAACAGATGGATGGCAAACACAGACTTTTTAATCTTGATACCAAATTGACGGAAGGAAAAGAAAATTTTATAATAGTAATTCAATTATTACATTATTTAGCACATAATATTGCTTAAACTAATTCTAAATCAACCAATACCTTTGATCTCAGTTAAAACCAAAGTATCAAATAAAGCAAAATATAAAGAGCACAATGAATTAGATCTTAACAAGAGAGTTTAGTATTTGGGTAAAAGTCTGATTTTTGAGATAAAATAATGCCTCAAATTATTAAAGTATTATTTTAATTTTTACTTATGGACCTTAAAGTCCATTAAAAAACCCTAGCCTAAATTTTTTCATGTTAGTATATTACTTCATTACTAAATATCCTATTGCTTTGTTAATTCATC